ATCCTCCAATTACTGTAAGTGTTAGAATACTTTATGGGGCTATTTTGTGTGTATAAAAATAAGCACATTGGTAGGCTATGTCTCTTCAAGTATATTGGTTAAAGGTTGGGTGTCATATGAAGAGCAGAAAGCAATTCTATTCAGAAAAAAAAATTATCGTTATAACTTTATTGAAAACAGTGGGAAAAAGTCATGAAAAATGCGTTGCATGTCGTGTTTAACCAGTGCTACAAGTTAGAAAAATAACCACAGCAATAATACAGCAATGTTACTATATCTGGCCGCTCAAACAAACAGATGATGTATAATAATATAAATTATATATATATATATTCTGTTTGTTGCCGCTAGCAGAGAAGTATACCCTGATAGCACACGTACATCACAGAGATGCCTATTTGACGTCTGCATTTACATCTGCAAGACGTGGTTTTTAGAGTGTTTGCTGATCTGCAATATGTCTACAGGACATTTCCTATCAGATGTCAAATAGACGTTTAGAAGATGTCTTTAAGATGTTTATGATTTAGAATGAATGTAAAACTGACATCTTAAAGACGTCTATCAGATGTTTGTACACAGCAGATGCTTTCCAGATGAAGCGATCTTTAACAGACATCTTGCAGACGTCTTTAATATCTAAATAAACTGTTCAAAACAATTACAGTATCATCTCTCTTATTGTCCACTGACATCCATATACTGGATTATAAAAGTTAAAAGACTCGCGGGTGTCTCTTTCGATGCTGAAGGGAGTGCATCAAGAACTGATGGCTCCTAGATATCATCCAATCAGTTCCTGATGCAGTATCACCAACATCAGAAAGTTCTCACAGATCAGAAGTTCTCATAGGTTTTGGATGGATGGATTGTAGTTAGGGATGGGTGAACAAGTCTGTGAGTTAATGTTATGAAGGAATAACAAACACTTTAAACATTTAAATCTCAGCCTGGCCACAGATTTCAGCGTAATTCTATTATACTTGGACTTCTTTTCCACAGGTTGCTCTCTTTTATCCGATGGAGACCAATGTTATTTTGTCATGGTGTGCGGGTGCTGTGTGTGACTGAACCCCAGCAGCGCCTGTGAGAGGGGTGACACACTACTCACAGTTGCCAGCTGAGATTATGCCAAAAATCAGCCTCACAATACCAGAGTCCTCCAGCAGGGGCGAGTAGATGTTCGCGTCCCCAGAGATGGTAACACATTACGAACTACTTTAGCTCCTCGGTACAATATAAGATGCGCGTTTGATCATCCTGGTGTAACTGCAGCGGTTATTGCAAAACAACAGATTAGCAATTTAGCATTGAGATTAGCACAGATGTAGGCTACTTAATTACAGGTTCAGGTGCAGCTGAGGTAGTTTTGACTCAGGTTTTGGGTGTAAACAGACTACTCAATCCCTACAGGTCAATGTGAGACTGTAATCACATCACAGTTGCCTGCAGAGATTACCCAGTCGGTCAGTCTCATCGTTAGCTGTTTGTTGTAATGCTAGTCAAAAACAAAGAAGTTGGTTTGAGCATCAGTGGTTCTCAAATGGTGGGCTATGACCCAAAAATGGGTCGCAGTTAAATTTTTATCACATGTGGCACAGAAAAACAATGCTAAATGCAAAATACATTTGCTTATCAACTTTTAGGGAGTTAAAAAAAAAAACGCTTCCCATATATA